GAGCCAAGGCCACAAAAATCCTGTTTTCAAATTCGTTGTGAAATTATTTCCCTCTGTGTGTAAACAGCTGTCATTTTCCACACCAGAGGAAATTATTCTAATAACCTATGCAGTCTAAATGGCACCTGAAACAATGCACTATCAGTTACTTTTAGTTTTGCAAAGTGAAATGAAAAGCACTGACTGAAACATGCATTTGAACACCTTCACCAAAGACTGATCCAATTTCCACTTTGCAGTTTTACCAGGTTTTGCATGTCCACCTTGCTTTGCTACTATTGCTCAATAGTAACCCAGCAGCAAATCTTTGAGACCTACCCATAGAATGAACCTTTTATTTCAGCCATGGCGTTCAGACACCAGTGGGTTAAGAGATTATCCCTAATGTGTGAAAAGTCCCAAGTTGAGAATTCTAGGGCTCTCAACAAGAAGGGGTATTATTTGCATATTCACCTGAGGGCAAGTTAGTGTGTTTTTTCTAAATGGCTAATGTGTATTTCTTAAAAGGTGAATAAAATCATGCATTTGTGAATGATTTGCCAGGTGAATGGTGAATTATCTTCCAAATACAGTTAATTAGTGCTGGCTTCCTGCTTGTGTTAGAAGCCTCTATAATTTATGTCTGCCTTTGACCTTCTCAAGGCAAATAGATCCTTTAATCCAGGAGACTCTATTCCATTAGTTTGCCCGCCCTCTCTCACCCCTCTTCTCCTCCTCCTTCCATTATCGCCTGTTCTACATTCTCGCCATCTTATGACCAACCCTCCCTTCTCTCTTTATCACTTCAACTAGCCCTCTGCACAAAAGATAACATGAGAATAAAAGAAAAAGCATCCATAAAACAGCAAGTAGCCACCTAAAATATGCTGTGGGAAATAAAACTGTTAGCTGTTGACATCTTTGCCAAATGATCTGAACATATTATTGCACACGTCTATTTGTTGTTAAACCCCTCCCTGCTCATCTGCAGCCTTCAAAGGAATAAAAAGGAATTTCTACAGTAACATCACACAGGTCTGCTATGATTTATGTATTAAAAGTGTTCCAGGAAAGTTGCACTTAAATCAAATCTTATTTTAATGCAGTAGGAAAGCTGGCTATTTAAAGAAATCTTATGACAAATTATTTTATATGGGAAAAATAATTTCATAAAGACAATGATTGTCTTCTAATTCATCACTTTTGAATATCCAGATCTTTTTATAACTGATTTATTTAAAGCAAGTAGCACCTATACACTTTAAGAGAATACTTGTTTTACTGAAGAACTAGTTCTCAGATTTATAAATTTAAAAAGAATAGTCATAACATAACTTTTTAAAACTCTGATAATCTTTTAAAACTCATATACTCACAATACAGTATTAAAGAACCTCTATTCTACATAATTTTATAATTAATCAATCCTACTAATTTCATATTGAAATTCCTATCCTGTGCCTGAATATTGCTAAACTCAAAACAAATATGAGTGGATTAATCTTTAAATAATCTCAGCCTTATATTTTGAATCATGAGAGGAAAACCTGTTAATTGCTGTTTAATACTGAGTATATAAAGCACAGTGTAACATAAGATATTGCAAATAAAAATAAACCTTCACAGATCATCCTCTTTAACTTCTATACCAAGAAGCCATTTTGTTTCTACATCTAGCAGAATATTTGAACTTGTGGACGAAAAAGGGGCCACATACCAAACCTGACAAGCTCAGAGGAGGCCTGCTTGGTAGCCTTACAAACTGAGACCTAAATTAACCACATAGGATGGTCTGAAATTAAAACTTCCTAACTAAAAGCCAGTCATGGCAGGTAGTCATGTCCTAGGCCAGTATCTTCCTTGACAAAGGTCAATCTTCACCTTGACTGAGCCTGTCTATTGTCTTTTTTGGATCTAGGATAACATACTTTGGGGGATGTTAGAGTAATTCCCCTTTTCCAGACCCCTCAGGGCACAATCTCCCACCAGAGCAGAGACCAATGAACCCCTCATTGTTATCTTGTTCCCCCACATACGACCTCTATGTGCTGTAAATGTTAATTGTTAACTATCCTATACTCACCAATGTCAAAGAAGTATGTCTATTTGTTTTACTTTTTATCCAGTCTCTGAGACTTCCCCACTTTGCTTTCGCCTGCCTCCCTAATCTACCACCAGTGGATTTCATGTAACCTCCTTATGTCTTCTGCTTTGATTCTAATGTTTAAAATATAGTGCAAAACTGCCATTCTCTGGAGCATTTTCCCAATCCTTTGAGATTTTGTTTCCTAGCGATTGTAGTCAGTGTGGCTCAAATAAACTCATAAAAATTCTTACAGGTTTGGAGGTTTCCTATGTCATTTGCTTGGCACAGTGCAGCAGGATTCCACAGAAGCCCACCCAGGACCATCCTGCAGACCTGGAACTGGGCTAGGTACCAGCAAGAGCCACTGTGTCCCACCAGCTCCTCGCTTTGCATTGGGTGAACTTGGGTGAACTTTTCTTGGAATTCCAGCCCTCCTTGTTTTAAGGTAAGAGGCCCTCACTTTATTTGAGCTGTATTTTTTTTGAAATCCTCTAGGTGGAACTAAAGGATAAGGGTTGAGATAACCCAGACTAAAGAGTTGAGATAACTCAGCACTGGAGGAAAAAAATGGGTTAGTGTTTGAAGAACTATATAAAGTTGATCTCTTCTAATATCATTGATCCAAGATCATTTTGAATTATTTTAAAGCACATAATACATACTCAGTAATTCTTCATTTAAATGGTAAATGAACAAATGGCTATTTCAGTGGTTAAGTTTCCTTTATATACACACTCCCTTGACAACAGGTTTCCCTTGGTGACTAAGAATCTGTATTTTCATGACAGCTCTTAGGAACTTGGGTGAAACAATTTGGAGGCTATGAAAATTAGTTTTCAGGGGTGTGTGTTTGTGTGTGTGTGTGTGTGTGTGTGTGTACGTTTGGACTAACAGACACACAAAGGAATCAAACCTATACTTTGGCTTATTTAGCACCATTCTCTCAGCCAGTCTTTCTCAAAGTATGATCCTTGGAAGACATGCAACAAAATCACCTGGACAAAAAGGCAAATTTCCAGTTGATGTACTGAATTCAAATCTTAGGGAGAGATCTGGGAATCTACCTCTAAAGAACCTTATCTTCATCCTGCCTGGGTTCTTCCACATGATCATGGCGCGCACTACAGTTGGAGAACCTCTGGAAGGTCCAGTTCAGGTGAAATTTTAAAACCATAGTCCAGCTACACTGAAAGTTTGGTGCAAGCAAATTAACACCTTATAAAATACAAAAAGTAAGTATCTCTATCTCTGCTTTTCCAGATTCTAAAAAGAAACTAAAGAAGTAAGTGTGCTGTCATCGTTACCAATTAGATGGAAGCATAAAGAGGTTTGGTTACTTTATTCGGATCCAACTTAAAACCTTAGCCAAATACTATAATGTTACAAACTTTAGTAAGCAATTCCAAATGGAACTGCTCTGCAAGCGTCTGATAAGGACTGTGCGACTGTGGTGAAAATGATGGCGCTGTAAGAATTTGTGCACATTCAAGTCACTTATTAATATTGTATCACTGCCTATGATTGACTCCTCTGCTTGAATGAGGCAGACAGTGTAATTCATGTTGAGGAAATCAGAAATTAACCAAAAGCAGATTTTTGCTATTTGGGATTGTCCAAATCCGGTAATTATTTTGAAAGCTCATGGGGAAAGAACATGTTAAGTTCTAATCAAAAGAATAATTTAAACTTTCACAGAAGGTACTCTACAAATTCAGACTAAGAAGTAAAACTGTCATGTATTAGGATAGGGAGCCAAAGTATATATATATACACACACACACACACACATATATATATAATTTCTAATAAAAGTATATTTTGTACTCCTTGCGTTAACGTTCAGAATTTTGAAATAGACAAAAACATCACTTGATTCTCATGGATAAAATCTTAATTAAATATATGAGTTATAGCAATGAACTTACAGCAAGTGTCGTCATGAGCAGACTGATTTTAACAGAATCCCAAAAGCTGAATATTGCTAGACATAAATAAAAGTAATATAGAAGGAAATGTGCATTCCTAACATGAGTGAGCGGACGCTATAATTAACCAATGAGTCGATGTCAACATCAGGTGGCTAAATAGGTAGCATCCAAGTGCATTAGTAATAAGTTAATTAATGCAATAAATATTATAATTATTGGAATAATGTCATATTTTACCATGCCTCAGATGTTATCCACAATACTAACGTGTGTGTACTTACACACACACACACGCACACACACAACTAAAACATATCTAAGGAGGAGAAATGAATCAAGATTGGTTGAGGAAAACAGTGGGTGGACTTTCTGTCATAAATTTCTTAGAGCCCATCACATCCTTTGCCAGGGGTAGCATTTATGGTATCAGGTTCTGTCCTCTGTCTTCGTTTTTTCGAACATTCTCCACCAGGTAAAAATATCCTGAGCTTCTATCTTCCACTAAGATGTGTAGAATTTTACACTTTGATTTTACTTCAGATTTAAAACACACGCACGCACGCCATTCTTTCGGAGCTGCTCCATTTACGAATCGCTAGAAGCTCATAATAACATCACTCATTTATGAGCAAATTTGTATCAATTATATTTGGGATGGAGTCTAAGATTTCATTCCAAAAGCCCAACAGAACCTCATTCTGAGGCAGCTTCACACAAGGAGATTTTACGTATGGGTTAGGTCAGCAGTCTAGAGCTGTTACAGTATATCTTTTCTAAGATGTTTGGTAACAATCAATGATATTTTGAAGAGTTCAGAATCTTTCCTAAAGGCAGAGTCTCCATATAGCTTATCAGTACAACTTTTAATAGTGAGCTACTCAACTATTTGGTTTCCAGCCAATTCTAAATTCACAGCAAGTTGGCTCTTTGTAGAAAACCGAATTTCTCCCCATAACAAATTATACTTAAAATCTCACTTGCCATAATTTGGAAGAACCAATCCCTACCTGTAACTTTCAATTCGGTTGTTCGTCTTACAAGTTTTCCTTCATACTTAAGTTCACAAGTGTAATTTCCTCCATCCTCTTCTTGAACTTCCTGGATCAGAAGAGCATTTCCTTTCTGTATTATTATACTTCTCCACATTTTTGGCTTGCATTCCTGTAGAGAAAATATTTTCAAGTAAGCGAAAAATAAAAACTCACATCACTGTCTTGGTACTGACAAGTTTGTACTTTACTTTCTGTACTCTTCTCTTTAGTTTTCAAAACATGTAACTAAAGAGTTACCTCAATGACCAGAAAACATCACAATGTGTCCACTTCACATATCACAACTATCACCCTAAGAGCCATTTTAAAGGTCCGATCCCAAGACCAAAAAGTCTCTAGAGACTTTCTGCTCAGATGGAAAAGCATAAAGCTCCCCCAATGCAAAAGTGGTATAGCAGAACCTCAAAAGTCACTAAATGTCATCATAATGCCCTGGTTCTGTTTGACAGGGATATTTCCTACGAGGATAGTGTTTATTTAGCAACATAGTATACTACAAGGGAGTCTTATGTATTATTAAAAATGCATAATAGGCTTTTACATTAGCAATGTTCACAATGGTTTAATTACCTCATATAGTAAAAATTAATACTAATATTCCAGAGTATCCTTCACCATAGTCAAGAGATCCACTTGGATGGTAGGGGGAGGGGTCTAGAAAATCAGGCTTAAGGGGTTCTCTAGAAACATTGCTAGGTAAAATGAAGACACATTTGGTTTTAGTAACAGAATGGAGATATTATCTACCTACTTTTGGGGTTCAGCAATATATGACTAGAGAATAAGATTTGGATTTTGAAGTCAATGCTTCTACTCTCTTGATGAGATTGTGAGGGAGTCTTGCTACTGGGATTGAACTTCCCTAGAAAGGAATGTTCAACTTTTCCAGAGTGACAAGGGTATAGCAATAGCCAAGTATGTCAGAATATTCAGTCAAGTGGCTTAAGGGGATTGTCTTCTGTGAATTTTCTCAGTCTACTTTGAGATATTATTGCAGTTTGTTTGCCACTCATCTCAAATGTTCAACCAAAATGGTAACTGAAAGCTGTACAAATATCAGCGGAGGCGGAGGAGAGAGCTGCCAGGGAGTGCTGAATAATCAAGGCAAAGTATTTTATCATATAAATTCTGACTTTCTCAGTTAAGGCAATAAAAAATTGATTGTGAGGCAGATTGTATGAATAATAGTTGAGAGCGCTTTCCACTTTCCAAACTATGGTATAAAGAACATCTTCTGTACGTCTTCTTACCCACACACCTCCCTCTCCTTACACACATTTTAAAAATTCATGTACAGATAGAAGCAGTACTGACACTCAATCCCCAGCTCTGCATGTGTCTGTGTGCATTTGTGTGCCTTTGTGCATTGGTATAAATGATTTGGGGGAGTGAGTACCCATTTCTCAGTGTATTTTTTTTTTACCATAACAAATTTTTTCCTTTATGATAATAGGAGTTTGGACAACAAAACACAAAAACCGGCACTTAAGTTCACAGGTATATTTAAGAGATATGCTTGCTTTATGGCCAATACAACTACCCACAGACGTTATCAGAGAGTAAATAAAAGTAATACTATCTAAGGCATCTAGATATAAGGCTGCTTCACTCCCCAGGGTCTTTCCAAAGAACAGTTAAGGGTCTGTCTGAAAATATATTACACACCATGTCTGGCAAGGTTTATCAACTATATGAGATTTGCTTCTGAGTTAAACCTTGGGATATAAGGTTTCTGGGAAAATGAAGAAAAAAGTCTGAACAGAAAGAAAAAAAGATAGCCCAGCTGCCACTATCATCATACAATAATAATCCACAATTATTTTCACATTGCTTCCAACTCTAATAGCCTCAGATTTCTAAAGAATAATTTTGAAGGTCATTAAATAAAAATATGGTCCCTCTGGGCATTTTGAGAGGAAAAGAAAATGAAAACTAAGCTGCTTCACTTTCACATAGTGGTGGTGAGGGCAGACAAATGAGCCCACACACTCATTTTAATCAAAGACAAATGGAATTGTTTTCTAATGTCATTTTGCAGGGAAAGTTCATATGCAGTTAGCTCTAACCATTTTCATTTTCTCTGCACACTGCTTTGGTTTTTCCCCAGGAAGTAAATCTAAAGCATGTACAGAAATTAGAAAATAACTCCTGATGAAGAATAACCTATAACCTTTACATGTTCTTTGGGATAGATCTAGATAGTTTGAAGTACTTTCCAAGTTGCCATCTAGCCTTATAAAAGGTCCTTTGTACCCAACAGAGGTTTGTTTGTTTTTCAAATGTGGCATAGAAAAATGTAATCTTCAAGTCAACTCCACGCTTCTTCAGACAATGCTGTACAATTGAAAAGGCAAATTGGCTTTAGAGCAAGACAACTCTAGGTCAAAATCTGGGGTTCATCCAAGTTCTGTGATCTTGGCCACATTTGCTTAACTTCTTTAAGTCTCAGTTTCTTACACCGCATGTGGGGATATTATACACGACCATGTGAACAGCCAGAATCTAGAGGCTTGCAGGGTTTATTCATAACACTTGTGGTCATCCATCACATAGAATGTTTTCCATCCCTAAACTTTCACAATCCTAAATTAAGCCTCTTCCAAAGCTCCAGCTATGCTTGTGAAAATTAGTACTAATGAACTAATTAAGTAAAAACAAATCTTCACTAATTGGTTACCCACACCCAAGCAACATAATACTTTAACCCACTGAAAATGTATAGCTCCTAGGAGGCCACTCTAACACTAATCGTATCAGATGGGTAGTGGAACTATTTTTTGTTCGAAAGAGCTTTATAGATGACTATCCTGTCCCCACAACCCATCCTCCACAAAGTTACCTCATTGGCTATCCTACCCATATCTGGGTGCCTATATTGAATCTCACAAGTCTTCCAAGCTCTTTATTCCATTATTTGCAGCATCTATTCCTTAAACTGCTGGCTGCTAGACTTAATACTGCCACTGCTTCTTTCCTGCCCTCAGTTGTCCCATCACCTCTAGTAGACACACAACACTGCAATACCTCATTGCCCCCAGACCTGTATAATTTAATTCTGACTGCCTATAGGGCAAAAAAGTGTGAAACATATTGGTCAAGTGCCAAGATGGTTATTTAACCGAGGCAAGTACAAACCACCAAAGCCTCAAGTGTGAGCTGGTCCTTAATATTGCCTTCAGTGTATAATTCCTCTATTATTTAATGCCCCTGGGACCATTAAAATAAACGTAATAAACTTGAAAGTTTTGTTGAGGGCCAGTCTTGCTTCAGATGCCTAAGTTCAACAAACACCTCCACTTCATTGCCTGGGTGTCACCACATAGAACAGTTTGTTATAAGTCGTCCATGATTAGCCAAAATAATGTCAGCCCTTAAAGTGCAGCTTTCTTCCCTCCCATTTTTCCCAAGTGGCAGATGTCACTTGCCAGTAATTGCTGGGTAGGGAGCCCAGAATGTTCAACAGAAACACCTACTAACCAAACCCCTTGAAGTAACCTATTGTCAGCTATATTTGGATCTTGGAGTTTCCACCCTGAAATATTCACCGCTGTATTTACAGTCCACTTCTGAGATAGCATCATCATATCCACAGGTGTTTTGCTTTTTTTAAAATTTATCTTTATTGTTGAAAGTATTATACATGTCCCCCTTTTCCCCTCATTTACCCCTTTCACGCTGTTCCCATGCCCTGCCCCCAGGCCTTCTCCACACTATTGTCTGTGTCCATGGGTTATGCATATATGCACATAAGTTCTTTGATTACTCTCTTCCTGCCCCCCCCCCCCCCCCCCCCCCCCCCCCCC